GAAGCAACATGAGAATCAAATGGGAAACAATGTCTTCGGTGGACACGAGAGCGAAATTTGCAAACAACATCGCACTACGGTTTGAACAGATCCCAGTGATGACAACTGATGTTGAAACCTAGTGGCAGCTCTTTAAGAGCGGCATACTCGAGGCTGCCGCCGAATGCTGCGGATATAAATGGGTTGACCTGCCGCCTGGAGGTCAGAAAAGATCTTCATGGTGGATACGAGAGGTACAACTGGCAGTTAAAGAGAAGAAGCAGCGTTCAAGGTTTGGAAATAAGGAGCCATCTACTCGCGTGCGATATAGAAGTGCCAAAGCCAAGGCTGATTCCTGGTAGAAGTTAGGTGAGGTCTTGGAGTTAAATTTTCAGAAAGGCAAATAAAGTATTCGCCGGCACCGAAGTGAGAAGAAGGGTGGTCTTAGAGTCTTGAAGGACAGATCTGGACACCCTCTTATCGAGGGTAAGGTCATTCTTTGGCGATGAAGAGTATTTTGAAGAACTCCTTAACCGCGAACAACCGCAGGAAAACTCGCTTGTAGAGCAGCACGGAATCGATATTACTATTTATGTAGAGCAAATTACATAAGCTGTGAGAAGCTTTAAAATTGGAAAGGCTGCTGGAATTGATGAAATCCGCCATGAAATGCTCACAGCGTTAGACGAATAAGGCATGTGCTGGCATGCACGTGTCTGTCAAACTGCGATTACTGTGGGGAAGATACCTGCGGAGTGGAAAACATGGGTAGTTGTACCTTTGTTCAGGAAGAGAGACAACGGAGTGCTCCATTTCTCGGGGCATAACGTTATTGCGCCTCCCAGGTTAAATCTACGCAAACGTGCTGGAAAGAAGGTGCCGCGGAATAACTCAAAGATACAAGAAGAACAGATAGTTTCTGGCGCGGTTGAAGTACCTCTGACTTTATATTTATCCTGCGCCAGACTGTTGAGAAAGCCTATGACTGGATTCCGCGGAACAATTTATCAACGTGCAATGCATTAACTCTTGATTAGCATACCCTCATTGGCTAACAGCTTGATGACCGTGACAGATCTTTGCGGATAAGAAATATTTCACCACGATACTTCGAGGAGCCTAAGATCGTTTATTTTAGTCGTTTACTTTTATTCGTTACACGGATGTTCTGGCTTCATTTATGAAGTGTGAGTGTGTGTGGTTTCCACCACTGTTTAGGTGATAGCACCATTGATTAGCGAACTTCATTCGTTTGGCAAAGAATTTAAGTTATTATTATTGCAACTAAATTTCTTTCAGACTTGAAAGCTGGTTCTCAGGAAGAAACACCTCGTTCTGGTAAAATTCCGATACGCATTCCTTTCCTTGCCGACGAAAAAGTCGATCTAAAGCGTTTGGAATCAGAAGGCAAACTCTTTGAATATGGTGAGAACATAGACTTTTGTCGTTTGTTCGTTTTTATTTCATTTGGTCAGTAAATTCATTTAGGAGATCAATTGATCAGATTCAGACCGTCTTATCACGATTACCCGTATGAAGAACTGATCCACAGTCATCGTCGAAGGACCTGCATGCTGTTCATTATCGCAGGCATGGTCTTCCCATGTGCAGTAGTTTTTCTGATTTACTACGTAAAGCGGCTGTGCCAGAGGAGCCGCTTGACTCATGGTCCCATACTCATTTCTCAGCTGACTGACGAAGACGAGCGAAGTAAGTTAGCTTATGATGTAACTCGTGGTTTTGAAATCATCGGTGCTACTTGTTTAGTAATCAAGCATTGCGCTGAGCGACTACGCCGTTCGTCGAAGGGAACCGACCGGGAGCCAATGCTGAAAGTGCGCCAAAATCCTCTGGACGAATTTCTCGAATACAATGACTCCGTGAGTACGGATCACCTGATGCCGAAAGAAAGCGCGTTAAGGAGGGATATCGTTTGATGATCATGCGTTTCGCGGATTCCCGAGACGCGTTGCTAACGATTGATCGCCTTTGCGATTTTCCGTTTTAAACTCGTCGATTTATGACTGACCAAAACCCAGTTTCTAGTCATTTTCTGTATGATTGCTGATTAATTTGAGCTCTCGCCGAGCTTCTCCGGGTCATCAGACTGATGTCAATCGTTTTGACGCTATACCAAATGAAATATTGTTGTCCATTATGCGATTATCGGCTAATTTATGTCACTTCGATGTTGATTTTGACATTTACCGAAAATTTATGACCACAAGTAATGTGGTGATGATGTCTGCAGTGAAATAAAATTTACATGCTCGCTAAACAGTTCTATTTTTCCACTTACGTTTCTTAAAACTAATCTTTTTGAAGTTGTTTAATCCATCACTCTTATGCTACGTTATGTTAATGTAGCTGTCCTAAACAAGGTCAAAGCAATAAACATCCTACAGATTATAGGTAATATGCTCCAAGAGGGTGCAAAGCTGGGGATAATCGAACAACCAGAGATCCATGTCCAGTCTAGTTATTTATGACTTATTTTAAAACAAAAATTATGCAAACTTCTCGTTTTCCATACCGCCGTAAAAATAACGATCTCCTGTCAGTTCTTCGGACTTGTACGGCATATTCGTTCCTTTGCTTCAAGTAATGTAGGAAATCGTATAATCAGGAGGCGACTTCGTGGTATTTTTCCGCCTGCAGTGCATGGGTGCAAAATTACATCACTTTGCAGTAAATCGTGAGAATTCACAGATTATTCTAAAACAATCTGTATTTTAACCAACGGACTGTTTGCTGTATATAGTGGGTGATTCTAAAGAAAAGAAAAAGTTAGATAAAGTTCAAAATAGCATCATTAAAATGCATAATTTTTTTACTGTTCCAAGTATATTACATAAATTGTTTGTGCAGTTGCGCACCGTTGCAATAATCTTTAAAAGGTTTAAATCGTACAGACATGCTATATGCGGGCTGTTATGTATTATTATCGATCACGCTATAATCATCTTTATGGCCCATGCCACATTCACAACTTACAGAACGGAGTTAAACAATGCTGTATCGAAATTTTAATGTCGTATTTAACAGCGGTATTGAAAGTTACCGCAAAAATCAGAGATGTTTTTTATCTTGACAAGTAAGTAAAGTCGACAAATTGTGTGCAAGTGAAATCTTGAAAATTATGTATAAGAAATTAAATATTGATTTGTACTCTAGTTTAAACTTTAGTAGTATTGTCTCGCTCTTTCCGCAACCTGAACTGTGCCTGAACATTTTAAGTCTTTTACATTATGTTTTTATATCGATGGAATCTTTGACCTGTTTTCGCCCACGATAATTTTGATGTTATGTTCCATTAGATTAGCATTATTCCATGTTTTTACATACACATGATCATCTTTTTTCATTTCTTCGATTCCATCGCGAAGTTCCCCAATAAACTTTGCCCCCACCACAGTCTGCAATAGAAAGGGCAGATCTGATCTTGTTTTACACCTTACGGTTCCATGGTTTTCACATGAGTGATTTTCTGTTTCTAATTAAATGCATTACTTCGCAATCAATGACCAATCTTTGGCGCTGTTGAACCTCGCGATAAGCCACAGTTACACTAGATACTACTGGTGCAATCACCCGTCATTTGGATGATTTTGACTATGACAAATATCATTTTTTCATTTTATAGAAATATTCATCTTATATTTTAGAATGTATTTATATCCCAGTCCCCATAACATTATTTAATGAGATATTCCGTATTCTAATGATCCAGATCATGTCAGGGCTATTGAATGTTTATTCATCTCGCTATCTCATCTCTTATTTTTAT